ATCACCTGTTTTCAGTTTTCTTCATAATATACCAGGACTAAGATTTGAAAGAAGAACTTTAGATATTCTGTGTAGATCTAATAACTGCTTAAAAAACTGTTAATGATGGTGAGTTATATGATCAAGTAAATATTTCATAATATCATCTGTCATTACCATTTATCATATACAACCCTGTATAGTGTTTGTGGTAATGCAAAAATCAGGGTTCATTTCCAAATCTGAGTATTGCTATAAGAATTTTTTTGATAATTCCACTTGCTACTGCTTCAGCAGGGTAAGTATCTCCAAATTAAAGTTAATTAAAAACTATCTAAGAACTACATTGACTCAAAAAGGATTTTTTACTAGGCATTTTGTCAACAGAATGCATATTATAGGAAAATCTTAATTATAGAACATAATTAATGCATTTGCTGGAATGAAGGCAAAGAATTTTGTAGCATAAATACATAATAAATATAAATTGTTTTTAGGAAGCCATTTAATAAATTTTGACTCTGCCCCTCTTTCAGGGGCCAGTCCTCACATAGCTGGGATAGGGGTGTGGAGACAGCATAGATCTGACTGTATGTCAAGTGATGAGGGCAGGCCTTGGGGGATGGACATAGTATAGGGAGCCTTCTGCAAAGAGGTTCTTGAAAAAACGGTCTATAACTACTTTCTTCTACTTCCTTGGACTCCTGTTCATCCCTTGATCTGGGTTTGGATCCAGTATGATTTTGCACAGATTGCTCTGTTTCTTTGTCAGTAAAGCAGAGATAACGACAGTGTGCCCCGAAGTTGCTATGAAGATGAAATGTCCTGAAGGTAGCTTGCGGTGGCTAAGATCATGTAGACTTGGGCTACCATTCTGGTTCCTGGACTTATTGAGGGGCTACTTAGAGTCTCTGAGCTTTTGTTTCCCATCTGTAAGGATAGTCATGGCTCCCTTTGCCTTATTTATGAGGATTAAAGTCAACTGACCTGGTGGCTCTGAGCTTCCGTTCCCCTTCCGAAGAGCCCCGCCCCTTGCATGCATCCATTTGTTCATCCACTATTTTCTTACACAGAATATGTGAGCATCTATTATGTGCTGAAAATATCAATACATTAACAAATTAAAGAATCAAATCAAATAAAACAAAAAAGTAATTACCGGTGGAAGCTTCCGGCTGTGGTCCAGAATGCCCTGTGTTCCTTGACGGACTCATGTTCTCCACCTACCCGCACGTTCACCCCTGCATGTTCAGCACTGGGACACTATTGCTGGAGCGTGGGCGGTGATCAGTGACTATTTATGGAACAAATGAGGCCCAGCCATGTGAGGCTGTAAGTCCAGAGTGCTGACCTTTGGGGCTAGAAACTTTTTAGACCTACAAAACTTACAGAGGTTCATCCTGATTCCATAGAATAATGGCTCCTACCCACCCTCCAGGGGACAACGGTCTCCTGGATTATCTCCTCTCTGAAGCCTCCCCTTGTTTCTACGGCACAGTTATCCATTTTTCTTCCACCTTTTCCAGCACTCACTGTCAATACCAGATGTCATTTTATATCATCCATGCACAGTTCTAAGTATTGGTCCCTGAGCATCCTGTCAGCCCCTTCATGTTACATGAGTTGGCCCTGAAGTTCCTGCATTCAGACTATTTTGATTTGACTGAAAAAACCTCAGAAACCTCAGTTCCTTTAGAATAAGCTACAACTTAGTTTGAAGGATACCTGCAAAATCCCAAGACATATTTTAACTTCTCTAAGCCTCAATTTTCTCTTTGATATGAAAGGGTTGAAACTCCCTGCCTTTGAAGGTCACGATGGCTACCTGAGCAGATTCATTCATTTGGCAAATATTTGTCCATACTTGCTATATGCAGGTATTATTCTGGGTGCTTGGAACATACTAGTGAGCAAAGTAAAGAAAGAAACATTTGCTTTAGGCAATGAGCATTCTCTTTGGAGAGGCAAATGATCAATGTAACAAATAGGAAACTTTATTGTACACTAAACAGCTGCAAGAACTATGGAGGAAAACAGCAGGATATGGGTGATGGAAAGGTTGAACACAATTTGGCAACTTTAAAATACCATGGAGATACCAGCTTATATTATTAAGTATATGCTGAGAAACAAACAAACAATTCAATAAACTCTTATCACTTTCCCTCAACTTCCAGAAAGGCAGTGTCCATCCCTCCTTTGATGATTTTTCAGGTGATTTTTATAAAATCAGAATGTTGTGTTGGGATCATAGATGAACACTTGTTGACTTGAAAGCTGACCCAAGAAGAAATGGAGAAGCATTGGGCTGTGCTCATTCCTTCTCTGGTGAGTCAGAACAAGCTCACACATCTCTGAGGGATTGATTTCCACAAACAAAGTGGCTAGTGGGGACTTTTCATTGAATTGAGGGACTGGTAGAGGCTGAGGATCCAGATGAGCAGTGTTGACTTTATAACATTCCAGTCCTGGAGACTTCAGAATGGCTGCTCAGATCCTCCTCCAGTGCCTTAAGATTCTTTGACCCATGGACTTTGGGCATTGAAGACACCAGTAACACTACTAACCCCAAATGGGGACTCAGCATCCACCATGAAGAAAAGCTGTTGATCATTTTATCTCACATAGACTGTGGCATCATGTAATTGCTGTACCTGTTGGTGTATTGTGTTCTTTTCAAATGGTGGCAGATTACTCTTAGCATGAACTTGGCCATTAGCTCTGCAAATCATTCTGGAGCACTTTACCTGTGTCTGGCACCAGGACAGCCACTGGGGTACAAGCAGGAGAGATGCAGATTCTTGCCCTCACGGAGCTTTGAGTCTAGTAAGAAAGACAGACATTTAAATGAGGACTCAGGCTAACTGTAGTTTCCAGTATGGGGTGAAGGGGTATGTCTCTGACGGGAGGAGACCAGTCAGGAGGCTGGTAAAGACATTATTGGAATAATGTTAGAATATAGGAAATTGAGCATGCCATTCAACCTAGTTGGAGTGTTTGACTTTAATGTATTTAAATACATTCTTGATTGATTTAAGCCTGGCCTTGAAAACAACTTCCAATATTTTGACAGATTGCAGTTGCAGTGTGTTTTGGGTTTTTGCCCTGTTCATTCATTTTCTGCCTTAGACTCTAGATGTCTTAGCTGGTCACATTTCTACCACTGGAAAGCAGGGTTGCCATGGATTCTTACCCTGATTCTGATGAATTCAATTTCAGTTCACCGACTAACAAGCATTGAGGGCCTGCCAAGTGCCCCATCCCATCCCAGGTGCTGCAGATACAGTGACAAATAGAATGTGGGTCCATGAGAATGTGAATTTGTTTTGTGTCAATAGAGAATTATCAGTAAGACTTTGGGCATGAGTCAAGTTCAGTTAAACGAGATCAATAAGTGTTTCACCTCTGGTTCTCACTGATTCCTCACACCACCTCCACAAAGCAGATTTTAGTAAAATCACTTTAGAGAAAGCAAGACTGATGCCTCCAGATGCAAAATCACTTGCCCAAGGTTGCACAGCTAGTATGGAAAAGTGGGATTTGAATCCAGGCCTCTGGACCCAACTAGGGACCATAGGGGGACCATCGGTGGTTGGAGACCACGGGCTGGCCTCACCTGCTCTTCCCCCTCGGTCTCTGAGATGGGCACTGCCCAGGTTCTTGCCTGTCTGGGCCCCAGCAGAAATGATGACAAGAATTTTCAGTAGGCCCATGAAAAGGAGCCAGCTTTTGATGCACCCTGAAAGCATGACTTGTTTCCCTCTCCTTCCAGGCTGGGGGCTATGGAGCCACCTGGTGAGGATGATGCACTTCAATCCATGTATCTGATTATGGGGGGATCCTCCTGAGATGAGGCAGGCTCCAGAGTCCTGGGAGACAGAGGCCTGGACCTGTGGAACATACCCGGCATTGTCGGACGTGCCCACCATTAGCTCTGAGGGCAGCCGGACCAGGACACGCAGGGCTGACTGGGAAGGTCTGGAGATCAGAGCAGGCCAGTGAGGGTGAGCCCCTGACTTCAGGATGGTGGAAGCTGATGGCTGTTCCAGAAGAACGTCATAGCAGACTTGAAACCCTGGGCATAGATGACTGGCTTTACCATCATCCCCAGTCTCTTCAGCTTCTGGGAGGATGTGATTCTGGTGTGAGCAGCAGCAGGTGTGGGAGGCTCTCCTGATCGTGTTGCCACGTAAGTGATGAGGACATGACTCTCGTAGGGGATGAGGATGGGAGAATCCTGATGTGTGGTGTTTGGGGTTTCAAGGGATCTGAGTGGCCTCTGGGAGGCTGGGGCAAGCTGAATTTGGCACTGCCTGGCGGTTGGCAGCCTTTCAAAGGTTCTAGGGCCCATATCAGTCAGGAGTGAGGCATGAGGAGCTGTCAGGTGCAGGGCCTCAGGGATGGGAGGGCACCACTGCACAGCTTATTTGTTGAGTCAGGGGAAAGAGGAAGGGGAGAGAGAGCCTCGAGACTGGTATGTAGGCATGAGAGGAATGGGAAGGCTAAGCAACCCTACTGAGTCCTCTCCTGATGCCAGAGGCGAGCAGTGGTGGGCACTGGGGATGTGATGGCTCAGAGGAGGGGAGGGCGATTGAAGCACCTTTGAGGGATATTCATTGTGAGCCTTGGGGAGCTTCAGCAGAAAGCTTCCCCCACTGCTGTGGTGTGGGGCAGGTACACTGAGATGAGCAAATTCTTTCTTTCACTGGAACTAATTGTTCTGGATGCACAGACGGGAGCTTGTGTGGATGGTTGATTTCTCACTGAATTCCTTGCTGCTGTGCGTGCTCATCTTCGGAAATGGAATGGGTTCTAAACCAGTTAGAGCTTTCATAGACACAGACTGTGACAGCCAGAAAGGTCCTGGCAAGCCCCCAATTCAGTATCTTGATCTCACACACAGAAGGAAGTCAACGAAGCCCCAAAGGCACATGGCAGGGTGGTTGGAGACCCAGGACTAGCGCCTGAGCCTTTCCACGCAGTGCTGCCTGTTGAGAGGATGTTACCAAAACTCTTGGTTCATACTTACCTGGCAGGGGAAATACCAGGATCACAAAGGCGGTCTTCTCAGGGCAGGGCTTATCCATTGCGCTCCAGATGTGCTGACCCCTGCGATTTCCCCAAATGTGGGAAACTCGGCTGCATCATTTCTGGTACTGGGGGACTGCGTTTGCGCTCTCACCTGTAAAAAATTAAAAAAAAAACAAAAAACAAACCTCTTGGTTCAGTGGTCCTATCGTGCCTGCTCGGTGGAATTGCTTGGATGCTGTTAGAATTTCTGTGGCTGTCTCCTGCTTCCCCTGAGAGATTCTGCTTCATTTGGTCTGGGATGGAGTCTGAGGTTAGTATTTGTTTTTCATCTTTTTGTGACTTATAGTGTAGCCAGGGATGAGAACGATTGGTCAGTTAAACTAATTCCAAATGATGCTTATAAAGGAAGGTCTGGGTGGACACCTACCCAAAGCACACAGTGAACGTGATTCCTGAGAAGTAATAGGTCATGATGAGGCTAGAACATGCTCTGGTTGAGATGGTGTCTGAGTGACAGTCTGCTGCTCAGGGCAAAGCGAGTCCCTTACTTTCTATGTCCAGTTCTTGGCACAGGATGTGGAAGGTTGGAGGTGGTTGCGCATCTGTAACTGCTCGTTGAATGAATGAGTGAATGAATGAGGGAGTGCATAGGAGCACGATGCTGGGAGCAGTCTGAGGCAATGAGCAGAGTTGCTCTCTGGGCAGGGTGATTGGAAAACTCTCATCCTTAGGACTCTTTCTGCGTCTATTTCATGACGAGACATGGAGACAAAACCTTTGAGAGTGGATCTAGAAATACTTGTTCCTTGGAATAAGAAAAGAAAGTTAGTGTTAAGAGAATAACGCACATCTTGAAGAGGAAGGGTGGATGTAGTGTCATAGTAGATGATTACTTCTCTGTTTTCAACAGTTGCCCTCATTAGCTGGATGCCATGGCCATGGGATTATGTTTTCTCCGTTAGTTTCATCATCTATCGAGTAAGGACATGAAGCCTCCACTTCCTGCCTCACCCAGATACTCGAGTTCAGTACACATGCAGGGGATGTCTGCTGGGAGGCAGGTGCGGGCTCGCGCTGAGGCTGCACAGGTATGAAGGCAGGATGCCTGCTTTCCCAGAGCTCGTGCTACCGTCCCCTCCTTCATTCCTGCTGACAAATGTGCACCGCGTGCCCGCAATGTGCCTGGCACTGTGCTTGGGACGATCGAAACAGATGAATCTGTGGGGAAGTGCTTTCAAATAATGTTTTGAAAGATATAAGAGATTAATGATATAAAAAAAAAGACATAAAAATATATATATATATATGGCATTAGTTGAAATGCCAAGACCATCCCATCTTTTATGGCCTGAAGTGGCTAGCCCATCCTTCAAGAAATAAGCTGAAAGTGTTCATCTCAGTCCTTTCCTCCCCAGGTGTCTGTTCATATCATATAGAGACATGTTCTGTTCGGATGTCTGCTTCCTTCATCACTGTGTAAGTACCTTCAGGGGAGGGATGCTGTCCTATTTATATCCCAGCCCCTGGAACAAAATGGGTACTTCATATCTGCTGGTATAACTGAATGAATGCAGTTTTCTGTAAATGGGAAAGATGTTCCAAAGTACATTTAAGTAATGTTTCTGATAAGGTCTATGCTAAATAATTTTATAAAATAAGCATTTGCATATGTAATTGAAGATGGGGTTACTTTGCTGTGTCTTCTACTTTTAAGATATATTAAAGAAAATCACAAACCTGAGAGCATTTTAAAGGTTAATTGTTTTTAGTGAACCGTAGAAAGCTGCGAGGTGTTGTGTGTGTTTTCTCTGGGATGCTGGGCAAGAAGGGAATGCTGACCAATTTCTAGCTGCTGGTTTTCAGGGACCAGAGGCTGTGGTTACTATTTTAAATTGTTTGTGTTAATTATTGTAATACTCTTTTGCAAATAAGTTGCCTTATGCAAAAGTAGCATAGAGGGTGTGTTTCCAAAGGATGTTTGACTAGCTATGGCCGTCCTTCCAAGTTGGAAAAAGCTTCTCTGAAGCCAGAAGGAATGGAAGGAGAGTATAGGACTTTGCTTCAAAGAGAAAGGATGTCAGAGAGGAGGAGGGGGTGGAAGGGACTATGGCACAAAGAAAGAGAGAGCAGGGCAGATGGACAGAGGGGGGAGGGGAGCCTGGGATGGGGTGAGAGACATGGAGAGAGGCCAGGATCCAGAGATGGAGACCAATGCAGGGAGACCCAGAGGTGGGGACACAGCCATACTGGGATCAGGGGTATGGTCAGACACTCTGGAGAGACTAGGACAGAGAGCAGGCCCAGGGCATCTGCAGGCTGAGGCACGAGAGGACGTGGGCATGACTGTCAGACAGATGTGCTAGGAAGCATCACTGAGAATCGGCCCATGGGGAATTTTTCATAAAATCTTTAAAGCAGCTAAAAGCCATTTTACTGAAAGGGTCTTTTTGGTGAAGAGAGACCAACCTGGGCCATTTTCTCCCCCTGTGCTCGGCTGCTGTTTCAGTTGATCTGTCTGTGAGGGCAGAGCGAGGGGAGTTGTGGATTTGCACCCCCTCTTTTCCTCCCTCCTGGGTTGCGGCTGTGGGGGGCATCCCTCCCCCAGGTAACTTGGGAGGAATTTGGGAGGGAGTGTGCGCAGGGCCCGGCAAGGGCCTGGTTTCTTTGGCTTTGCTGCCCAGATCCTAAGTGTTGTTGGAATAAGGGTGTTATTTTTGCATCTTAAATTGCTGCTGCAGAGAGCAAACACAGTTTGCAGAAACTCCTCTGCTTTTGAGCCTTCCTTTGAAATCAGACCTGGTAGGATGTTAAGGTTAATCAGGAAACAGTACATTTTTTTCAAGAGGGTGGTCAGAATGATTTCCTTCTCTCCCTGAGATCAGTGACCCCATCCTGGCCCCTCTCCTTGCTGGGCTTAATTAGATTAAAGGAGACAGAATGAGGAAGAGAAGGTGAGACCACAGAGACCATCTAGTCCGGTGCTTTCATTTTTCAGGTAGAGAGATGAGGCCCTGAGGGGGGCTGGCTCGAAGCCCAGGACTCTGTGTGTGAAGCCTGTGCTCTTTCCCCTGTCCAGGGAGGGAGCCGTCAACTCTGCTGCATGACCCACTCTCCTTCCGTGGCAGACATCACTAATCAATCGTGATCCACGGCCGCCAGAGCCTTGTCCAGCAGGGTGTGGGAGCGCCGACAGTCATTAGATTCTGCCTGTGGGATGAGCCCTCTTTACTCTCCCTGTACCATATGGTGTTATCCTGCCAGCATGTGTTGATCTTTCTTATGCAGATAATGTGTGGCCTGCTGTCCACTGATTAATAATATAGCGCATGTTAGTGTTAAGAGTAGAGGAAATCTGACCTATCCCTTCTTGGAATCCAGGTGGTGTTTATGTGTGAAAATGGGGGAACAAGAGGAAATGTATAGGCTGGGCTTGGTGTTTATTTATGTCTTTGCTTTTCTGTTTATTTCATCTGGGGGGCAAGGGAGCCCCTATAGTTAGATTATAGGAATTTGTGTTTTGGTCCTTTGCAGGGAAGGTTTGAGCATCACTCGGAAGATGAGGAAACCATTACTCAGAGAGTTTAGCTAAGTTCACACAGTTCAGTTGGTGTTTTAATCTGCTGCTGGTGAGGGAGGGAGTCCAGACCTAGGATTGTGGGATTGGCCGCAGGCCACCAGACGAGGAGGGTGGCAGCAGTTTGTTATTCACATGTGCCCACAGCCCAAGGGAGGAGGAGGACACGGTATGCCTGTAGGGCCACATGGGGGCTGCACTCCTGAACAAGCAGGTGCTGTGGGAGGCAGGCTTTGTAGTTTGAGAGGGTGGGTGTCCTGGTTCCTGAGGGGGGATGTGATGGGCTTATTTGAATAATTGTGAGATGGCTGGGATAAGTGGGGACTGTGCTTGGTCCCCCTAAGAAGTTGGGTTGTTTGTCTGGGGGACGTTATCCACAGAGCATAGAAGGGAGGGGAATTTACAATCAGGGCGTATGAGGCCCTCCCAATTTCCCCAGATGTCCGGGAGGCACCTAATACTGAGCTCCAGTCTCAGGCCTTATACTGCAGCTAGGAGACACAGAGCTACAATTTGAACCCAGGGCTGATGGCTCCAAAGCCTGGGATCTTGCCCATCCCACGACACGGGCTCCTGCCAGAACGTCCTTTGGAGTCTCAGACTGAGTAAATGGCCTTCCCATCTTTCTATCTTGTCAGTTACCTCAGCTCTGCATCTGTGTTTATGCTGCATCACACCTGGGCATTGTTTAGTGATAGAATTAATTTCCTTCTCCATCTCTCTTTGTGTGTGTCACGTTGTGGTGGCTGGGAGAACCAAAATATTCTAAATGAATTCAGGCATTGTCTAAGAATCAGAGAATGAAGTAAGCAGTCAGTGGGGCTGAATACAACCGAGGGTGGAAAACACAGATTCATTGAGCTGCTGGGAGTTGCGGGCCACTTAAATCATTAGAACATGACCATGCATACAAATGCATGAACAGACAGACACCTCGGCAGATTAATATTCATACTGTTGAGGTTGGCAAACCTTTACAGAAGGAGGCTCCCAGGGATTCTTTTAAAGAACAAAGCTCCTGGTGCATTTAAAATAACACCCCAAGTATGTTAACTGTTGTTTTCACGCTATGGAAGTTTGGAGTCCAGAGTTAGGAAAGGAGATGGGGCACTGATTTGTAAGGAAATCATATGTAGACATCATATGCAGACACTGAATAAAGAGGTGGGTGATGATGATGGCAGATTCGATGATAAAAACTTGTGTTGAGAGTGTGTGCCTCTGTGCTAGGCATTTCCCTCACTTTTTCTCCTCTACATTCCTAAGGACCTCTCAAAACCATGATCATGACTGTTTTTTAGATGAGGAAATTGAAGCCCAGAGAATTTCATTATGTGAAATCACACAACTAGCAAGTTATAGCATTTACCTCCTGCTTCCCTTCCCGGGTGGTTGTAGGATGGAAGAGCGTGTGTAATGATGGAGCACAGTGCCCGGTCGGCAGTCAGCCTTCTGTGCAGTAAGCTCCTCTCTTTATCCTGACACTATACGTTACATGTCTCTCTTGTGAGTATATGGCAGGGGCACTGATGTCCAGCAGGGTGGGTCCCGGCTGAGCACCTTTGCTGCTCTGCTTTGTG